TGTGTGTGTGTGTGTGTGTGCGTGTGTGTGTGTGTGATTGCTTCATTTCTTTACTTCCATATGAATTATCTACTTTCGCTTTTCAGCAGCCAGATGGTTCGAGGAAAGTGGGAATTAGCGAGTCCTCGGCACTGGAAAGTTCATCCAATATGGCAACACAGGCTAGGAAAGAAAAAGGAAACAGCCGGAAGAAAGGTGTCTCGTTCCACTTTCCGGTTGCCAAGGTCTGGGAAATTTCGAGGTCGGAACGGTCAGTGCAACCAGGACATGGTGGAAAGAGATTACGTCGTTTTCTGAAGTCTGTCCTGACCAAGGATAAAACCAAAGCTAGAGAGAAAGATGAACACGCTCTTGAAGTTTATAACGAAGAGGGCGTTTATCGAACGAAAGCCGAAAGTGCTTCTGAGAATAGTTATATGATGCAAAGTAACCACCTCGTCCACAAAGGTAGTAATGTTTGTGGAAACACAGAAACAGCCAACGAGACTAAAACGTGTCAGAAATCCGGTATGTTCACGACCGCGACGAGTTTGAAATTGGAAGAAAACAGCCAGAGTCGGGATAAGAAGAAGCAAGCAGAGTCGCCCAAAAGCTACGCACGATACAAGCATAAGGGGGACAATCACGGCTTGAAAAGATCTTGGCTTCACTGGCTGGGTCTTAGACGTCGTCCAACAGAAGGTCAAGGACGCGGAGTGACCGCTGCACCCTCCGAGTCCCAGGAGCGACACACTGGTGAGTCAGGCTGGTCAAATGACACGCAACGTCAGTCGGTGTCTCGGGTTCCCGTGAATACGGCGAAAGGCTCACCACTTCTCCATAAGGTATCTAGGTTGGAAAGGAGGTCGATTGTCCCAACAGAAAATGAACTAGGACGAGTTCATAGGTCAGGAGTTAGAAATGCTCACAAATCAAAGGCATATAGACCACTCGTTCACATGGACAAAGTAAGGACCCGCAGAGACGTTCAAGGCGAAAAGTTACAAGACACCAGACACAAGACACAGGCTACCATTCAGGACGAAATGTTTCAAGACACTAGAGTAAAGACCCACAGAGGCATCCAGGACAAAAAGCCAAGAGACAAGACAGAGAACAGACGGGAAGACAGCGACCCCAAGCGCTCAGACAGTAACAACAATATGCAAAGAGCGCGTCACCATGACGACACGAGCGCGTCAACCGGAGGTGTGGGGTTCAAGGACGAGTTTGGGGCTCTGGAGAAGTACCAGGAACATCTGCTGAAGACTCTCAGCTTCTCGTCTGCGCTCCAGAACATGGACAAAAACCGGTGGGTATTTTTTATGTCTAGAGCTGTGTGGATCTTTGTATGAATGCCAAATTCGCCTTTCATTTAATTATAATTATTTTTATGTTTAAAAATGACGACAAATGATGCAAAGGTAGACTAAGAACACCTTTCTTAGACAATCTAAACAGACAGGCGACGAGGAAAACGGGGAAAACATAAAGAGTTTTACAATGCATTTGGAGCATGTGAGCTCAAATTTAGTTGACAAAACCATGATCCCCGTTGTCGCTTTCAGGTCTGACACGTCATGGTGATGGGGATGATTCAAATAATTAATTACGGTGAAAATTGTCCAAGACAGCCTCCCATTGCCGACGGGGAAAAAAGTGATCGTCTAAGACAGTGCTAGGGGGAGGGGAGTGTGGGTAGTTGTCGTCTGTACAGGTTAAGGCTTTTGGACAGGTGGGCGCTCTGGCGTGGTTTGCTTCTTCTTTCCTATCAAGCATTTACCATCCACGTCGCTCCTCCTTCTGTTCTTTGTATGTTACTCTCTAGTTTAGTAACGCCTCTAACATTCTCCACTTACATGACCTGTTTAGCGGGTCGTTGGAAAACGCCAGTGGTAGATTTTACTGCATTTCTTTCCCTCTATTATTTCTGCCTGTCTGTCTGTCTGTCTGTCTGTCTGTCTGTCTGTCTGTCTGTCTGTCTGTCTGTCTGTCTGTCTGTCTGTCTGTCTTGCTTTTTTTTCCTGCACTAAATGATCGTTATCGTGTCGAATAGTTACTCTATACCCAGTAACCTATTTTTGTTGCTAGTGGCGTAAAACTCTTCCTAAAACTAAATGGTAAGTTCGGTTGTATTTAATCTCAGTTTCAGCGCCCTGCTGGCCCCAGACCACAGCCGTGTGATGGTGGAGAAGGTAGAGGTCGGGGACACAGACTACTATAACGCCAGCCACATCGAGCTGGGTACAGGGGTGGACTACATAGCCGCACAGAGTCCTTTCTCACCCAGCACCGCCAACGACTTTTGGAGGCTTCTACTGCAGAACAGGTGTTCATATCTGGTGGAGAGACAGAGAGACAGGGAGAAAGGGAGAGTGGAATAGAAAGAGAGAGAGAGAGAGAGAGAGAGACAGATAGAGAGAGAGACAGAGAGAGAAAGAGTTGGTTTATTCTTTAGGGGAGGTAGGAGGGGGAGAGAAAAAGAGAGGGGGGAGTAAGAAAGGGAACAAGAGAGAAAGAGAGAGAGAGAGAGAGAGAGAGAGAGAGAGAGAGAGAGAGAGAGAGAGA